CCCAACATTAGCCTCCTTTAGCTTAGCGGTGGTGACGTGAAGTCATGTGACCGTGCTGTAGTTCCTTTATAGCCCAACATTAGCCTCCTTTAGCTTAGCGGTGGTGACGTGAAGTCATGTGACCGTGCTGTAGTTCCTTTATAGCCCAACATTAGCCACCTTTAGCTTAGCGGTGGTGACGTGAAGTCATGTGACCGTGCTGTAGTTCCTTTATAGCCCAACATTAGCCACCTTTAGCTTAGCGGTGGTGACGTGAAGTCATGTGACCGTGCTGTAGTTCCTTTAAAGCCCAACATTTTGCTTCTGGTGATTGCATTTACGCTTAAGTATAAGATTAAGTGGTGTTAATATGTGGAGATTATCCTGCTGAATAAAACGAATGAATAAGAAGAAGAAGAAGAAGAAGAAGAAGAAGAATAGGGAGGGATGAAACCCTCTTTAATGGTCACACATGCAGAGCACACAGCACACAGGGAAATGTGTTCTCTGCTTTTAACCCATTCTAGTACCAGGAGTTTAACTTGTGTTAACCACTGAGTAATGTAAAAGTCCCATTTAACTTTTGTCTAGCGAGCCCTTGTGAAGCTTACTTCGTGGTTAGCAAATAAAAAAAAACATCATCCTTGCAATGTATTTTTCCTTACCATGTGAGCGAGTTCATGAGCGATGACGGTTGCCACCCACTCCTTGTCTCCGTTGGACGAGACGTCAGGGTTGAACAGCAGGGCGGTCTCTCTGTAGGTGATCAGACCCCAGTTCTCCATGGCTCCAGCGCCGAAGTCCGGCAGAGCGATCTGGTCTGAAAACAAATGAAGATATTAATACCGTTCATCTTTCACTTCTGCTGGAATTACATTTAATTTGGTTTTCCTTCGTTGTTTTCTTCTGAGGTTGTACTGCCTGTTCTTGTACTTGTTTTGTGTCTCTTAGGTGTTATTTAGTTTTAAGTCTTCTTTGAGTTCATTCATCTTTTTGAAATGGCTTTGTTGTTTTTGTTGTTATGTGGTTCTTTGTAGTCATTAAGTGTCTCATTGTGGGTATTTTGTATTTCTGTAGTTCTGGCTGTATTTGAATATTTAATTTAGAGTTTTTTATTTGTTTGTAGTCATTTAGTGTTTCCTTGTAGTTTTTGGCATTTTTATAGTATTTTTTTGCTGTTTTTGTTCTCTTTCTAGTCATTTCATGGCTTTTTGTGGTGATTCTGAGTCTCTTCCTGGTTTCTCTTTCAGTGACATGTGGCTTGTGTCAGGTAGTAATCCATCCATGCACCTGTGTTACAAACAAACACACTTGCAGGTCTGCTGCCTTTCAGTAAATCAAATCATCTCTTGAGACACTATATTGATATACACGTGAACATGAGCAATATAGGGCCCCTTTAAATATGCTTGATTCATTCCCGAATTAAGGAATTGTTCTGTTACAACAGCATGTTAACAAAGCATTATAAATAAGCTGTCAATGGATACATATCAACAGTAGAAATGTGTTTGGTTCCTACCTGACTTTTCGAGAGGATAAGGAGACTTGTAGTAGTCCTCAAAGAACTGCAGTATGGGTCCAGTCTTCTCCAGGGCGTAGTCTCCCTGTCCGGCCTCGATGGCCTTCCTGCGAGCCCAGATCCTGATCTGCACACAAGCACAGATTTATTATTAAAGAAACTACACAGAGACATGTTAAATCAGTCCAGCAGAGGGCAGCATAAAAACACTGAAACCACCCCAAAAATTACCAAGGTTTCTGGTTTGGGACCGCCGACTGGTTCGTTTGTGATGAAAGTAAATTCACACACGACAAAAGCCAGCAGGTAGGTGGACATGATCTTTGTGGGATGAAAACTAGTCATGGTCCAAATCTCTCCATCCAAAGTGGTGTTAACAGGTTCTGTGTGGAGGAAAAACACAAAGCAGATTAATTACAAATGAAGACATGTACAGCACCTCACTTTTAGATATCAGAGACAACTGTATAGCTACTTTTTTAAAACTAGATTATACTCTGTTTTCCTATGTTAAATGTTTTTGTTTTTTTAAACTGCAACTGCTTTGCACACTAAAATGTATGTCTATAGGATCCCATGTTTTATTTTTGTATTAGGAAGTTTGTCTTTTTCAGTGTATTTAAAAAAATGTGTATATCGTATATTGTGTATTCTATAAATTCATATTAGTATCTCTCTACTGTGATCACTCTTTATTTGTCTCATACTGTCTCTGCTGCAGCGCCTCTTTTCACTTCTGAAACCAGAGCTCAGTCTGCTCTGATTGGTTAGCTGGCCGGCTCTGTTGTGATTGGTCAACCGCTTAGAGATGTCCCGCCCCTTAACGTATCATGTACAATGTGTTGGAGCGCTATCCAATAGGAGCGCAAGTGTGATGATGTCACTGTGTTCAGGAAGTAAACAAAGGAGTCTAATGGAGGCATTTTAGCCTCTGCAGACCATTTACATGCACAAAAACCTTCATAACACACTACAGGGAAGCGAGTACCCCGAAAAGCAGAATAGGGCCCCTTTAAGGTGCAATGCACTTGAAGTTGTGGGTGATATTTCACATCTAAAATGCTGCATTGGATATAGAGATAATCGGAGGGATGAAACCCTCTTTAATGGTCACACATACATGCACACAGCACACACAGTGACATATGACCTCTGCATTTAACTAGTTGTACTATGAGCAGTGATACACTGAGAGTATTCCTCACCGTGGTTGAGGGAGTTGGAGAGAGCGACGGTGCCCGCGGGGTGGAGGAGCGTCAGCTGGAAGACAGCTTTCATCGCGGGCTCGTCGAAACAGGGGAATGCTTTCCTGGCGTCCGTCGGCTGCATCTGAGTCGTGGCAAGAACTCTGAAAACAGCAGGTATATGAAGTCAGGATTAACAGAGGAAGCCATTATCTGTAGATACACTCATACAGTTATATACTCACTTATATACTCACCTCTTCAGAACTGCTTTTAATCTGTAATTAATGTTGGGTTTTATATATTTTAAGTGTGTTGTTTTAGTTGTGTTTTTATGATGAGTTTTGGGAAAAGCGCTCCTTAAATAAAATGCATTATTATTATTATTATTATTATTATTAGAAAAACCCTTATATGGAAGCCCTAAAAAGCCAAGAAAAAAAACAGTGAACTTTCTGGGTCGTTTTGTGTTTGTTGCTGTAATACTAACCTCAGCCACCAGGGGGCACTACTACCCAGTGTTTCTTAATAGGATTTAAAGCAGCCATGAGTTCTTCCAGGTGAGTTTTAAAAAGAAAAACATGCAGGTAATGTTTCATAATGTGTTAACACCATATTTTAACAATGAATAAAGGGGTTTTAACTCACAATATATTATTTTTAATCAACCTGTGGTTGGTACTCGATCTAATTATATGAGTATTGATACCAGTCTCCTTTCGGTCAAAAACACTGGAAGATTGTCGTTTTTACACTTCAGTTTTTGTACAGATGAAACAAACATGAGCTTTAAAGGGGCTGGTAGGCGGATTTGGTTCAACTTTCAACGTTATCATTCATCTCATCCAACTCAATGCAAGGGTACAGGGTACATTCCCTGTAAAGAATAAAACCTAGGGTGAGTCCCATTTAAAGATCCCAGTTCTAAAAAGCACTGCATGTCTCCAGAGGCATTTCCTCATGGAGACAGTGGGTAATTAACATTTAGGGAGAGAAGACCACTAAGAGTTTTTTTTCCTCTCAGCTGCTGCTTTTATAACATATTATATCCACAGTTTACATTGTGGATTATATTAATTTTGGTTTTAATTATATAACCCAATATGGAAACTTCACATAAAGTCCCGAAATGCCAAAAGATATCCGAAATGTCTTGGTTATTTGGTTAGTGTTATATAGGTGTTTCAGCTTGCAGATGATTCTGTGAACTCTCTCCAATTCTAGATTTGTTCGTAAAATATATTTCTAATACTCTCTGTTTACTGTCTATTCAAAAGCTTTAGGTAGATGATCATGTCTGTAAAGTTGTTAAGGTTTTTAAATCTTGCATTACTACAAAGGCTTTCAATATTTACCATTTCAAACCTTTCCATTTCATCATTCTCAAAGGGAAATGCACATATTTAAAAATCCAATAAAGTAAATAAAAGGGTTAATCGAGTATTACCCTAGTCCATCAGCGTCTTGTTTAAATCCAGGTCTGTAAAGTATTAAATCTTGCATTGCTACATTGCTAATAATTACACTTATTTGCACCATTGCAAAAATCACGAAAAGTAAAGAAAGGGTTAAATGAGTATTGATAAAGCTCAGTATAGAAAACGAACTGTGTCTGGGACTAAATATATAATATGAATAAATAAATCTAGTTCAAATGCATGTCTGTAAAAATGCCAATTCATGCAAAGGTTTTCCCTTTTGCAAAATGCTCAAAACTTTAAACAAATCATTTAAAAAGTTGAAGTTAAAGACCATTTTTCCCCAATGTAAAATGTAGGAAACTATTTTGCACAACCGACATATTTAAAAATACAAATAGGTTAATAAAGATTGTTAAATGAGTTAACATTAAACTATGTCTATTTTAAGCACGTCTGTAAAGTCGTCAGGGTTTTTCACTCCTGCATTTCCACACAGGACTATTTATATATTTACACCTTTCTTCACAAGTGCATCATTCTCCAGATGTAACCAACATAAGTGTTTACTCCCCCACACACTTTACACTTGGATCATGATTTTTGTTTTCTTTGTACTGTTTCTGTTCTGATTTTATGTAAAGCTTGTTTGAGCATTAGGAAAAGCGCTATAAAAATCCCATGTTTTATTATTATTATAAATAAAAACGTAAAATAAAGAGGGTTTTTGAAAGTCACATAACTTCAAAGGCCAATTATACACTGAGTTTCCCTTTTGCAAAATTATCTCAAACAAGTACATTTGAATAAAGAAATTAAAGAGAAAATACTTTTCCTCTAGGTTTTTGAATCTTTTGAATCTTTTGAATCTTTTGAATCTTGCCATCTTGAATTTTGCAAAAGGGAAAATTAAGTATTTTCCCTTTTGCAAAATTCTCTCAACAAATACATTTGAATACAAAAATGAAAGAGAACATCCTACTTTTCCTGGTTATCCTCAACGTAAACGCTCCTGTAGAATCCGCCCAGGTCGTCGGCCAGTTCTCCAACGAAATCCGTGAAGAGTTCGTACGAGTCGCCGACCTTCAGAGGACCGCTGAGCTGCAACACCAAATATTGGGTGGGAATTTCCAACCATGTTGTCTTCAGGTTTGGTGCAGTTGCTCCATTTAGGCCCGTCAACTTGGCGAGGAACCCATCGAATTTGGTGAGGTTCAGCTTGTTGGAGTGGATGATGACCAGGTCTGTTTCCTTCACACATTTGAACACCACCGTTGATTCTCCCGTG